TGAGGCCCTGGGAGTCTTTTTAAGGAAGCGGAAAAGGTGCAGGCAGGTGGTGGCGACAGAGAGCTCCCCAAGTAGCCTGATCGTGGTACCGACGTGGCGGAAACCTGCTGTGGGCCGAGGCGGACGGGAGAGAGCGCTGCAGGGCTCTGCCCAGACCTAGCCGGCACAAACGCATTTTCTGCCACTTCCTCACAGCCAGAGACACTTTCTTCCCTCAAATAAATCGTCCGTCCCATATTTCCCTCTCAAAGAAATCCCCCAACAGCTTTAAAAGCCGATAACTTCAGTCTTCTGACCCCATAACTGCTGGAGACAAGCTTTCGTGGTGAAAGAGCCTGATGTAACCAGTAACAGTAAAACCAAGTGCCTCTCCAAGACTTAAAAGGACCACAAAGCTTTGGTGGTGATTAGCAGCGTGAAACCAGCCCAGCCTGGTTTTAGCTACAGAAAGATATCTGGATTAAGAAGCCAAAATTAGTCTTCTGATGTAAAAGCTATGAAGTGATGCTGATAGCTGCCAGGATGTTATTTCCCCAAGAGAAGGAAAGGGGTGGTCTGGAGCAGAGCAGGACCGTGTGGGCCCACAGCAGGGTTTCCTTCAAAGCAATGCCACTGACCTTACCTGTTGCCAGGTATAAAACGCCTAGTAGATTCAGAAAGACAGATGAGTTTTCTTCAAGACGCAGTGAGAGAACCTCAGGCTTCAATGCAATTTGGTAATAAGGTGCGTGCCAATCGAGTTAATTTGTTTTCTGAGGGGAGATGGAGTGTGCTGTTATTTCTGTGGCACAAGCAGGAAACACTTTCAAGAATTGCAGTGTAAAACAGTCTTGTCCAACTGCTGCAGTTCCCATTTGAGTAACACATAATCTTTTCCAGGTTAATGGTGTGATCTGATTGAAGTACGTCTTTTTATTAACACAGGGATGCAAAAACTAATGAAAGATTAAAGCAGCAAAAATACACATGAGCACTCCAAATACTACAGTCAAAAGTCTTAAATAACAGCTTTGATTTAGAGACAGCCTCACACATGTGACTGATCACATTGACAGCATGGCTGTGTTGTTACAAAGGGAAAGTTTACAAAGCTCATTTTAAAAGTAATCAAATAATCATAACCATAATTAGTTGAAGCAAGGAATTCTGTTGCAATTGTCCTTCCACTTTGTCCTCCTCTTCGCATCAGTATTTATGCTTTCAGAATTTGGCAGGAAGCTTCATCTTCTTTTCAGTCCACCTAAAATAATAGACATCAGACTTCACATTCTAAAAATAAACTGAGCTGGCTTAACTTCTGGTACCACACATGGCATGAATATAAAAAACCAAAATTACCCTTTGAAATATGTTTTGCTAAAAACTATTCAACAGATTTCAAGTGTTCATGTCCAAGTAGTACACTAGAAGTCTGCTTGAAAGAGTGCACAGCCAAGAGCTGGAGAGAGGGGGAAATCAGTAGAATTTCCTTAAAAATTGTGGTATGTGATTTGTTCCTCCATATACTAGCTTCTCAAGGTGACAATATATGTCTAATGAGAACTTGAATGGTTTAATTACATTTAAGTACCAGTTATTTAAGGTCCTAAAGATACATGATGCTTTTTTAAAAATGGATGTTTCTTCCCCTACATTTTAACTGAGGTTCTTTCTAATTTAGTTAACAGTTTTGTAGGTCATCTCCACATGCAACTGTGTAAAAAATTGGTTCATTCCAGATTTTGTTTTCTATTAAGAGATTTTCCAAGAATAGTTACATGCAAAATGTAATTATGTAATTTCCTTCCCTATGGAAGGAATCAGAAGCTTCTTGCAGAAGAAGTACAAGTTCTCCTGCCTGTTGTGAGCAAGTCAGATGGTATTTTTTGTACTTTAAGTTCTGATTGAGCACCTCTATAAAGCACTTTTAATTCTTTGTCTACAACTGGGGAAACTATGACAATATGTGTAATATCTTATGTGAAGTTCAATGTGAGCTGAACATGCCTGCTAACAGAAATTTATCAACCAGCATGTTGAACACTGAGTTTATCAATCACTGTGTTTCTTTAGATTTCTGCACTTAGCTCGTATTATTTTATTGCTTAGTGAATACAAAATATAAACAGCAGCATTTGTATAGCTGATTTATGGGTAATATTAATGTAAAAGACATGGTAGAACTACACAGTTTGAATATTTCTGGGCTATAACACTAGCTTTTAAAAAGTAATAGGAATTCTGTTGTTGGGGAGTGTGTGTGTGTTATGATTTACAGCAACATTTCTGCCTAAATCTGACTGTTAAATTTGAAGATGAAAAGTGTTTTCTTACCTTGGGGAATCAATTCCGCTGTCTCCTGTAATGCTGTGCTTTTCTGTCCCTCCGGAGTGTTTCTGCCCTGATACCACAGTACTTGCACTCTTACAAACCAGATCTGGTTTTCCCCGGGGGCTGCTCGTTCCTTTGCCCTGTGAGCCCAAAGCACAGCACGCCACTGCCCCGCCCCTCTCATAGGGGAAGTTCTGCAAAGCTTCAGCACCCGACTCAGCCTCATTACGGTGGGAGAGATCTGGTACAGCTGCAGCCTCCACACAGTCAGTAAGACCAGCTTTTTCTTCTCTTCTGTGGCCTGTCGGAACAACCTGACTGCACAGGCAACTTGCTTCTTTGAAATCTGGTTTTGGATGCTCTTTTGAGCCATCTGTTGATTCTACAAAACTAGCACTTTCCTTATATCCACGCTCTCCAGAATCATGTTCATTTACAGTTGTGCTGCACTGGGCGGGATAAGCATTAACCTTACATTTTTTTAGGGACATAGCTGTCCCCAGCTTTTGCACAGCTTTAATCCAGCCTCCTGTGTCTGAAAAAGCATGGCCAGGAGGCAGGTGACATGGTTCATTGTCTTCAAAACTGTCATCTGGGTGTAACAAGTTACAGGTGTCACCAACCTGTGCTTTGTGGTACAGAAGATGGCAGTTATTGGTAAATCCTTCACTTCCCAGCTTCATTGATCCAGGATGGCTAGCACAGTCACATTTAAATATAAATTCATTCTTTATATCAGTCTTTTGTCTGTATTTCACACCAACTTGTTTCACCAGGTGAGCATTTGCTGTATAATTTGAAAGACAGACATTTTGAAACTCATTTGCTGTTTGATCTAGTAACTCATGTATAGTGTCAGCTCTGCACCTGCAATACTCATCTTTCAGACGTAATGAAAAATTTGCATCTTCTTTGCACACACCATTATCTTCAGCATAGGAGTGAGGGGATTTCTTAATTCCCTCAGGAGTTTTTTTTACCGTTCCTCTGTAGATGTTTTCTTCAGAAATATTACTCTCTGGAAAGTGTTTGCTTTCCATATCTATTTGCAAAGTACTGCTTCTCTGATAACCAAAGTTTTCACTTAAACTGCCTTTCTTTTGTAGAAGGGAAGACCTGCTAGTGGGGAGCAGATTGTTGTGCTTAGCTTTGTGAATCTGTGTTGCAGTAGCCAGCTGTTCTGTTTCATAGTCAAAGGGTTTTGGGGAGTCCAAGGACTGTGACCTTTGGAAAGCCCTTTCTTGCTTTCGAGTCCTGGACTTCCGCTGGCTGTTACTGGTACCTCTGTACCCTCTCACATAAAAGCTGCGTCTCCATGACAGACCCTGAAAAGGGTTCTTAATTTGTTTTTTATATATGACATGGGATTCTACTGCTACATCAGATGGCTGCGGGTTTCTGATAGGCACTGAAAGGTTCTCTTCCAGTTTCTGGTTTGGGGAGGTTAGCTCATGTCTGTGAGACTTCCTGTTGCTTCTGCTAATCGGCTTCTCTCTCCTTGATTTGGTTTTCTTGGTGTGTTTTGATGGTTTCCTTTGTGTGTTTTGACTACAGTCCTTTGAAAGATGGTTTTGCCTGACTATTGACACTTCAGCCCAGGTACACTTACTGATATCTTCTTTCTGCTCCTCAAACTTCTGCATTAATATTGTGTGTTTAATCAAATTATCAACTGTAAGAGTAGGGTTAATACGCTTGATGATTTCATGTTCAATGTCACGTGGAATATTATCTAAGTCATCTTCATCCCTGACTGGCCACTCCTTGGGAGGAAACTGGGCTGAAAAAGTGGAGTACTCCTTATATTTTTCTCTTTTAGAAGCACTTCTCCAGAAAGAGCCAAGGCCAAACCTCTTGCTTTTCAGTTTCCCTTTCACAGATGTCAGGGATTTGATGGTGTCCCAGGAATGGTTTTCAGCAGCTGTGGAGATTCCTTGAGTGTGAATTGGAGGCTTCAATTCACTGCAGCCTTTCTTACCTCCTCCATTAGGTTCATGGTCGGTTAGCTGCTGCTGTCTTTGTTCACAGGGGGTATTCTGGTCAGGGAAACAATGGCAGGATCTGTAACGGGATACCTTAGGAATGTTTTCTTTCACTAGGTCTTCGCAGCACTCAGTGTTTAGGAAGTAAGTGGAAAGTGACAAACAACAACAACTGTTCTCCAGCGGGACCCTTCTATTGTCTTCTGTGGCATCATTTGTGATGAAGTACGTGCTGGGAGTTACAATGAAGTATCCTTCTCCTGTGTGATAGATTTTCCTTTCTTTAATTAGAGTGCCAAGGATATTATACAAGAGATTGTGGGAAGGAACTGCAATGCCTGCAACAAAGACACAGATTCTTCAGATCAGAAATAGAGTTTCAAATAAAATAGGAGCTGGCCAAAAGATAACTTAGACACAACAGATCTGGAAGCTACTGAATGTTAAATACCCACTGTATTTAGTTCACAGGATTCCAAAAGAAGTTTGAAACAGACCTGGCAACTGAAGTTCAAGTACAGCCTACTCAATTCCAACATGGATGTGTCCAGTATCATGGGATAAAAGGCAGGATCACCAGATCTGAACTTCCAGAGCTATTAATTGTTGCACCCCACTGTTCCCTCCTACAGCCCTGCGCTCCCTGCAGAACAGGGACAGCAGGGACAGGAATTCTGCAGCAGTGTCCACACAGGGAAGGCAGTGAGGGCTGCCCCAAATCTTGGGGACAGCACAGACTGCAGCCCTGAGTCAGGCTGAGCCCTTCTGGGCAGCACAGAACCATCATCCCACCTAGGGCTCTGGGAGGTGCAGTCCTGCCAGTGTCTTACAGATCAGTAAAACCCTTTCTAACTCTGCCACAGCCATTCCCCACTGATCAGCAAGGCCACCCCTGAGGAAGATGGTAAAGACCAGCTGTGTTTCCAGTTGTCACTGTAGCACTGCTGTAGTGGAGCTTAGGATGTTCTTCAATTAAGCAAGGATGTTTCCTTTGCCTGCCAGGTACAATCCAAGCAGTGGTTTATTCAAAGCATTTCCCTCTTGGCAGGTTATTTAACAGTAGCTTTTATCACTCTCTCTGAAGTTTCTGGTGTAGTTCTGTCAGGTGACAATTGCTACAAAAGTTTACTTTGCTGAGACTGGTCTTAGTTGCCAGTTTTCCTTCACATGTCACAGTCCCAGTGTCATTAGTTTAGTGATATCTGAGCTACTGCCTCATGCTTCTGCTGATCTCCTGCCCACAGGAATGAAAAATTCCTGTAAGGTGAAAATGTAGCACGAAAAACACTCTCTCCCCACAAACCCTGAGGGTCCTGCTTTGAGCTGATGTAAAAACGCTACCTTGTGGTTGTCTCAGTGCACGTCTATACTACATCACATTCCTGACAGGGTTCTGAGCCAGTTTATGAGCTTGCATTGAAAATTTTCCCACTAGTGAAAATACCTGCGGGGTCAGCCTGTGACGTTTGCAGAGCCAGAAGGTTAAGAAGACACAAGAGGAAGTTTGGTGTCAAACAAAACAGCCTCCTGCAGAGGGTCATATTGAGCCTTTACAAAGTTTCACATGCACATACACACACGTCAGTACTGCAGATCTAAGGGAGACTGGACATTTTTTCAGATTGAAAAGAAAACGTGGGATTTAAGGGATAGGGCTGCTATCCCAACAGAATAAAAGGATTAAAGCTCGTTTAATGTAAGTAATTAGCTTTCAAAAAGGAAGGGGCTGGAATTTGACCAACAAACTTGAACTTGAGGCCACAGTTGTGGGTTTTGATTGCAGACACCAGCTGTAGACTCCTACCCAGTCCCTTTGCCATCAAAATTAGCTGTGTTCCTATCTCTTGAAGGAGGAGTCAAAGTCTTTGTGATCTGACACACAGTCTGTTGTTTATGCTGTTCCAACTCTGGCACCTAAATACCTTATCTATGCTTTCCCACCCTCTGGAAGGGATACACTCTCCATGTGATACTGCACTCAGTAAAAAGGATTACGACCAAGACAACGTTAGGGACACTCTCAGATCAATGAGGAATATATACATTCAGGTATTTTGCTAGTTGCCTATAAATCTATATTCCTTCCTATTGCCAGCTTTCTTTAGTGATCACTCACACAATACCAGAAACTCAAGCTTGATTACACAGTCACTTTCAGAAAGAGGGGAAAAAACTTAACACATTACCTGGATAATTTTTAACTAGCTGCTCCATTAAAGTTTCCTGTGTGACCATCACACGATCTGCGTTCATGTCTGATACCGTACGGCATATTCCTTCTGCCAGAGGAAGGGACTGTGACTGTGAGAGAGGATTCATGAGAACAGGGTCACATCACCTGGAGTCCAGAAGGGGGAGAAAGAGGGT